ATCTACAAGAATGCCCATGTCTGACTGATCGTCTTCCTAGGGAGGTTCTTATTCCTCTTACTGTTTGGCCTTTTCGGCTTTGAGCGTAGAAATAAGAGTGGCCTAGTAATTATCAAGGAGGTCAGAGATGTCCATTTCAGGATTCCATGCCCGCAAGCTATAAATAGCTTGATTGCCCAGTGAGTAGCCTTCCTCTCAAGCTCGAGATTTTATCGCTTTATCTGCTCGATCAATGAAGTGACTCGCCCCTAAAACAACTCGAGGTCTGTCTGCAATGCCCTCTTCTGCTTTTCTGTGTTTACCCACAACTGAGCTCGATTCTCCTCTGCCACATTTGCGTGATCAAACTCACCTACAACTCATTTTCTCTCTCACTCAACTCTTTGGTGAGCCTTGCCACAGTTTGTTGGAGCCCTTTATTGTCATCATCTTTCCTCTCGAGCTCCCCCTTCTGAAAGTCTGCTACTTGAAGAGTAGCGTCTCTTTTAGTCAGGTACTGATCCACCTGGATACGAGCTGTTTTTTCCTCTACATCTATGGACATAAGATCTTGCTTCAGCTTGGCATTCTCCTTCTTCAGCTCGTGGAGTCTGCTGGTAGAGTCTATGTCAATCTTCTACTGGGCCACGATTAATGCGAGGAAGGACTGCATGAGAAAAAAGCCAAAAGTTAGTTTTTTTTTTTTTTTTTTTTTTTTAAGATCTTAAAAAACTAAGAGATCGGTTGGTATTGAAAAGTTCTCGAAGAGAACTGGCTGCTTTACTTGAATTAGCAACTGGAGCGTAGTGGCCACCAGGTTAGAAGGTCAAGAAGCCACAAACCCATCAAAGGCCGCGACAAGTTGGCATTCTAACAGGGTGTATACAATCGGCTGCAAATGTTTCGACAGTTGCCCTAGTGAATCCAACACAGACGGGTCTAGCCTCGAGAAGGTAGGCACCTCTTTGGCCTGTTGTTTGCCCACTCTCTTCTAGGTAGCTATGGTCGTTCCTTCTCCCTTACGATAACTCTTGGGGGCATCCGAGTATTGAGGGCATCCCCTAGCGAAAGATGTGGTAGGGCTGAGTTCTTTTTGGCAACACCGCGAGGCCCTTTGGTTCAGACCTCAACTTCTCCTCGGTGGGTAGTTGCTTTCTCTTCCTGGTCTTCTGGCCCATTGTCTTTTTCTTCAAAGCACAAGCAGCCGCAGGCTTGGGAGCTTCTTCGCGTGACTCCATGGTTGGTTGCCTTTCAACACCGATCTATATCCCTCTTGTGGGGACATCGGTGAAGGTCACTCCATCCAGTTCAATTGGGTCGATCCTAGGGAATGTGAATCCCCTAGTTCTCCTCGATGTCTTCAGAACCCTTGGTAGCATGGTTGCTATGCGACATGAAAGTGTGTCAACAAAGAAAGTTTTTTAATTAAAAGATAGAGTTCTCCTACATGGGAAGACACTTACGAATTGGAGCTTCCAAGGATGCCTCGGGGCTAAAGAAATCGTACTTTCGTAAATTGGCAGTGGTCATGAGCAGCTTCGCATCGTGAATTTGAGCCAGCAGTAGACCGAATGCCTCGATACGGCTAAAGTCTACTAGAGCCAATAACCTGGTCGTCTTGTTTCCTGTAAGAAAGCGACTTACTTATTAAAGAAAGGATAAAGATAAGGAATAAACAGTTTGGAAATTAAAGGGAAAACCTACTCGGCTCTCTAAATTTACAAGCACCATCATACTCAAAGAAGAAATATTTGGTTTCGTAAGCCCCAACGTTGCTGGGGTAACCAAATATCCCTCCCTCGATCATTGATCGTTTCAAGAGGTAGTATGAATCCTTATCTTTACTCCTTTTCAAATAGTAGTCCATAGCTGTCAGCTCACCGAGTCTGTGTTCGCCACATGCGATATACATAGCGACTGCTATCATATACGCATTGGGTGTCAACTGGAACGGTGCGACCTTGAAGTGGTCGAGGATCGACCTGATGAAGGGGTGAAAAGGTATCGTCACTCTGCATTTGAAAATTGCTTCAGAGATCGTAGCCATTCCCTCTAGAGGGTCTTCAGTAGTGTGTGACCTATGCTAGTAGATGTTTATGTTGATCGCAAACTGATCTACCGCCTTTTGAATTTCATCCATGGTGGCTGCTGATAGTACCGCCTGTCAGAGACCCACCAAGGTGCCCGGTGGTTGTAAGCTTGTCCCTTCGGCTGCTCTTATCTCAGGAAAATCCATTGCTCTTAAAGTCTGAAAATGTGCGACATGCAAAGATGACTCAGTCTCCGTATGCATTATCTCGTACTACGACTTATAAGAAAAAAAAGAAACCCTAGTTTCTCTTCCATAACCTTAAAAACCCTAAAAAAATTTAAGGATGATTTCCCAAAGATATGTGCCCTAATTTTTAGCTTTTAAAAGTGTTCCATTTGGAACACTGCCTGCGAATGTGCATTGTGTAATCCTAGCAGAAATCTGCTCCCACCATTACTGTGCGAAACTAAGGTTTTTTTTTTTTTTTTTTTTTTTAAACAGAAATGAATAAGAGAAAAAGAGAAGAAAATTTCTTTACCTTTGGATTGCTGGGAGTGAACGTTCTGTCGTAGCGACGAGTGCGCATCAATCGGGAAGAGGATAAACTGATTTCTTGAGTATGAAAACGCTATTTTTTTTCTCTCTGGAAACGCAAGTTTTGTGAAAAATGTGGAATGGGCTTAGGGTTTTATAGGGAAGAAGGCGACGCTTAGTTTCCCTTGCAAGAAACGTTTGGGTGGGACGCGTTTCTAGCCGTTGGATGCGACCACGTGTCGTCAATCCTTGTGAAGAGTAACCTTCACACTTTGTGGAGATCAATTGACGTTTCCCTCCATTGGAGACGCCAAATGTCGGCGTGGTTATCTCCTCCACATTAAATGTGCACTTATCTGCATTTAATGCTTTAAAAGAGAATGTCGTTTCAGCATGGCTTGCATTTAGTGCTCATGGTTGACACTTATTGCGCAAAAACATGTCTGTCAGATAAGGCTTATTTTAGTGACCATGACAACTATCAAGCGCAACGGATAACATCTGAAGAGGTTGTTCTAATAAAACACTCTTCCCCATATGTCAATCTCGAAGCGAAGTGATTTCCAACTTTTGACAGCAAAATACGCTAAGCACTTTCAAGTCGCGGATGAAAGATAGAGTTCGAAACACATTAGTATAGCACTGAGTAGGATCCGACATAGGTCGCTGAACCTTTTGGGACGATCACCTCAAGTCGCTTGTGTAACTCTTGAAGATCCATGTCGCAACCTCTATTCAGTTCGTTGGTCGAGTGAAGTCATCGACCTTGTTTCGTTCAGGCTGTTCTCAACTGATAGTTCGAGCAAGTGCTCTTCGAGACAAGTTAGATCGCGAGATAAACATGAAGTTCTCAAGATTCAATTTTTGAACCTTAAGAACTGGGGAGCTTCTGTTATGCCTAAAAAATCAGGACTGATGCGAGCTTACATCAGCCAGCACCAATCAGAGTTCTGGAAGGCTTTGTGCCGCCCAAGAGCTGCCACGTTGTCAAAAAGACAGAAGGAGTATAGCTGTCATCAATTTGGTAGACTCAAGCTTTATCTACGAGTAGATGGGAGTCGCCCACCTGTCCAAGCCCTACGTGATTTAAGGATATCTGCCATGTAATCAGCCAATGGGAAGCGCGATAGGAATTATACTACACCTGCCTACTTGTAGACTTGTAATCATTACTCTGAAACCTTCTACTATAAATAGAGGGCTCCCCCTCTCATTTTCGGGATTGTGATAAAAAAAACCCGCATTCTGATTGTAACATTTTATTCTCAAAACACAGATAATCTGCGAAAAAGAGACTGACTTGATATTCTCTCTGAATCATCAGTCACTTGTACCTCTGCTCGATGTTCGCTATATGCGACCTCCTGCAACCTCATATATATAAAAAAACAGTGGACGTAGAATTCGCTTTAAGCATTCGAACCACTTTAAAAATCTTTCATTTACTTCATTGCATTTTCCATTCACGTATAATTTCTAAATCAACTTAGCACTTTATACGTGCGAATCGTTGGTGTCAAAATCAAGCATCAACAAATTTTTTGCTTAATTTGTTGGAAGTGGTAAATATATAGAAGCCTATTTAACTTACCGTGAACACTGTTAAGAAGCCTCGTTCAGTTACTTTATATATATATAGACAGAGAAAGGTACTTCTTATGTCAACTTAAAATTTTGTTTAAACTTTTTATACAAATTTTAATTTCATATATCAATTCATTATAATTCAATGGTTTATTAATCGTTGAAGTGCCTATGATAATAACTATCTCTAACATGTTTTCTCACACATATGAGTTCAGATATACCAATTTAACAAAAAGAAAGACATGACTGTTTTACATTCAACTATCAATTCATCGCAATCCAAATGATTCAAATATTAACAGACGTTGCTGAGATGACAATATATATATTGTTCATAAAGAATAATTACACTAAAACTTAGCTACAAAGTCCCTAAACTATTAAGCTGTTTATTTAAAATATATATATGTATATATATCATTGTATGTTATGGTTGAAATAGATAAATAATTTAAATTTTATGATTTTTTATTTTTTACAAAGCTGATACAGTATATTCAATTTCACATCATTCACAAGTTTATTCGATCAAATAATATCTTTATATAACTTTTATTTCTTTTTCACTATAAATATCACCCTAATTCTTTAGATTAAAACAAATTCAAATGGAGATTTTACTAGTTATCTCATATGTGTTGTCGCTCTCTTCCAAATACTTGGGTAAATTCAACGCTATCATACAATACTATATATATGTTTCTAAGATTCAGTAGGAAATATTAAGACAAATTGGGGGTGTAGCTCATATGGTAGAGCGCTCGCTTCGCATGCGAGAGGCACGGGGTTCGATTCCCCGCACCTCCAAAGACCAAATTCTAAGTTTTTTGATAAACTCTGTAAACGCTTTGCTTTGCCAAGTGCAGCCAATCTCTCACTTCTGTTGTCTCTGTCTGAATTTATTTATCCAACTCCTTCAACTTCATCGATCTTGTTCGACAAATGCTAGGTACTTTTCTTAAAGTCACTCATTGTCTTTTCATGAATTTTCTAATTCCTTATCGATTAAAATCGTATATTATAAGCTCAAAACTTTACATTAAACTAATTTTCTTACTTAGGCCTTCAACTTACAGGTTCTTGAATATTAAATTCACAGTTGACTACTCTAATCAGTATCCCTATGTCAAAAAAATAAATATAACCCAATTGGTTGGCAACTTGTATTGTTGTTTTAGTCCCACCAACTCCCTTGATTCAAATTATGCTTCTCACGATCTTCCTTCTTCAGTTTTCTCTCGCTCTTTCAGAATTCCTCTAAACACAAGCAGTTGTTCAGTATCTCTGTTTGAATCACTTGATATCAAACCTCTTCTTGTTTAAAAGGTTCGGTTCGGTTGAATTCTTATTTATTGTTGCCATTTAAGTGCCTAATTTTAGAATTTTGCCCATATATGAAATTTCTTTCTTTTTTTTTTTGTTTTTTTTTTTGTTGTGTGTGTGTTCTTTGGTAGACGTAAATTCTCAATACCCCACTTTCATGTTAACAAATTTGTAACATAGAAGGTTAAATTTGTGACATGTTTAAATGTGGGTATAAATCAGTTAATGGCTGGTTTTTAGATGTTAAACGTTATTCAATGTTAATAAACTTTACATTTTTTTTTCTTTTTTCCGAAACTTTAGTAAACTTTACATTGATTAGATGTGAAACAGTCAATATTATTAGTCATTGAGTGTGTTAATATGGGTATATTCTTTTTTGAGTATATGGACGAACAACTAATTATAGAACGAGTACATCTCATATATTTTGACGTGGGATGGGATCTCTTGGTTGGTTAATTGTACGGCCGAGGGATGTAACAAATTTCTTTCCTTTGATAGAATTCAATTACAAGGCTTGATGATATAATGTGTTAGGGTATTTTATTTCTTAAAAAGAAATTGAACTACGACTTGACCAAAGCTTTGCAGGTATCATTAATGGTGATTGTATTTCTTTGTAAAAGGGTTGAAGGGATTTTGAAGGAAATTTAGAGTCATTCTACAGATTTTGCATCCATCCCCCAATTTTAATGTTTGTAATGAGAAACTTTGGCCTATATTAACCAAATAGGCTGTGCAAAGACTTGTTAAATAACTCGCAATAGACATTTCAGAAAATTCTTTTGGGATTTTTCTGGGGTTATCATCCCTGTAATCTGGGTGAACAATATTTTGTTGAGAGAAATTTTTATTTTATTTTATTTTATTGTTGAATTCCTATTTTCCGTTCTGCAGCGGCTTGTAGGGGGTATATGGAAGAAAGGGAAACGGGAAAACAAGAGGCAGTGGCATCTGTAAGGGAAATTTTTGGCCTTTCCGGACCTTTATACCTCACTGCTGTTGATTGGTAAGACCATTTCTTTCTCACATTGTTCATTGATTTGGAGTAAGTACATTTACTCGGTTGTTAAGATACTTGGGGCATTGAGCCTGCCAAGGTTAAACTTGATTTAAAAAATAAAAAAAATAAAAAAAAATAAAATTTGGAGCTTGACTCTTGTGCTTTATATTGATGTTGAAACCTGTTCTATTCTTTAACCGCTAAATGAAACCAGTTTTTAGCAGGGTTCTTGGTGTGCTTAGAATAGAATTGATAAGATAGCCGGAGTTGGGTTATAGGACGAATGTTTTCAAATGTAAAGTAGTATAATAATCAGGTCGTTGCACCCATTTTGGCTGGCTTCATAATGATAATCTGGCTGAAAATAGTGCACAATTCATAGATACATGTTTAATTGAAAAATTATACAGAAGTTTTGCAACAGCATAACTAGTATTCAGTTAAATGTCGTATAGGTAAAATCCAGTCAGGATTCATTTTTCAAAATTTTTAGGCTCTGCCTAATAGGAAGTTTCTTTTGCTGCTAGGAATATGTGATGGACTTTCTACCTGATTATCCTATGAATTAATCAATTGAACTTTTTGTAACAACTGTCTTCAGGTGTTATTCTCTAACTTATAATGTATTACAGGGAAAATTCACATCACCGAAGATCAGTTGCTGCAAGCTTGGTTCAAGGAGTGTACATTCTAGAACGCGACCGCCAACAGAAGCGCCAAGGGCATCAATCTCATGCTTCTCCATGGTGGAACTTCTTCCACTTTCAATTAATTAGTCCACTTATAGATGATGTTGATTTCTCAATCTTTGGTGCGATTTATGGATATAATTCATCTGTTTTTGAACATAATGCCCCAAAATATGTTATTGCCTTCCGGGGTACACTAAACAAGCCAGATTCCAGATTAAGAGATCTTAAGCTAGACATCCAGGCCATCCGCAGCAAACTTCATCAAAGCTCCCGCTTTCAGCTTGCAATGCAGGCCGTCCAGGATTTAGTTGCGGTAGTAGGAACAGCTAATATTTGGTTAGCTGGACATTCTCTGGGATCTGCTATTGCGTTGCTTTCAGGAAAGAATATGACCAAGCTAAATTATCCTATTGAAACTTACCTTTTCAATCCACCATTCTTTTCCCTCCCCATAGAATGTATTAGTAATCCAAAGGTGAAGCACGGGATTCGCATTGCAAGAAGTGTTGTTAGAGCAGGGATTGCTGTTGCTGTAAAGGGCCAACACCATAGTTCTAAAAAAGATGACTCTTTTTTTGTATTATCTGACTGGGTTCCTTACCTATTTGTTAACCCAACTGATCATATTTGCTCTGAATATATTGGTTATTTTGAGCATAGGAAGAAGATGAAGGAGGTTGGAGCTACAAAGATTGAGAGACTTGCAACACAAAATTCTATAGGGAATATGATCTTTGGTGTGTGTGTGAGGGATTGCGAACCCTTGCATCTGCTGCCTTCAGCATATCTGACTATTAATATGAGTCAGACTCCGGATTTTAAACGAGCACACGGAATTCACCAGTGGTGGGATCCAAGTTTTGATGGCCAGTCCGAGCTTCATTTGTTCAGGTAATGTATGAACTTTTCTCCTTTTAGGATTCCTTGGTGAAGAATTCTGTTTAATCACACTGCACAAATCTGGTGGGAACCTGCTATGTTCTCTATGAATTACTTTGGTTCTCTTAATTGTAACTATCTAACCAGCTAGAAGGCCGCCTAATGATGTTGATTGTTCATCACCAAGGAACTTCTTGTGTTAATTAAACATTACCATTAGTAGTTATAATGTATGGAGAAAATCATGAGTGGAGGAACTTTCTATGGTGTTTTATATATCCTTGTAATAGAAGATGAGATATTTTTGCACATTGACCTCTTCCTCTTTGATCTGAATCAGTTGTCTGAATTTAGTTTCATCAAATTATTTGGGTTTCTAAACTTTTCGGTTCATAGATTGTGCTTTAAGGACATATTTGGTGAGTCTTACTATATTATATAATAGCACGGTAATAAGTCTCATAGACTTGTATAATTACGAGTAAACGACATGTTCCCACCCGAGATTAAGCGAAAAGACAAGGTTCCATCCCTAGTGTCACAAGGCCTAATCTCGTCTCTAGGCACTGCACGGCACAAGCGCACCAACACTTGTCAGCCTTCATCCAGTTGTGCGTTTCCCTATTACAAAATTGCAAACACAATCCAACAGAGGCTAATAAGAGTAAATGCACAACAAATACGGGAAAACCCAGCCTTATATTATTTCAATCCGAATACAAGGAAACTCAAGTACTCACACAGTGTATCCCACTGTTTACAATCTGATCCCTCTATCACAGACTTAGCACTCAAGTTACAACAAGGTTTACAAACACATATAACCCTTTCCCTCTCACTCTCTCATGCATATACAGCCTGCCTGCCTTACTTATATACAAAGATGGCACAACAGTTACATAGGTTACAACAGCAGTTATAACCCTACATAGCAGTTACATAACAGTTGGCCTTTACATATAAGCTTATCTAGACAATAATAACCATCCACAGCATTTGTCCAACTATCATGTAGCCTGGTCTAATTGTTTCCATCATCTAGTGCACACTCCCATGCACCTCACACACGTTACTCTCTGTCTCATGCATGAATTCAGCTGCTCGTTATATAACTTGTATGTTCGCACACGTCGTAGCTCGTGTGCCACAGTCTAGCCTGTTCGTGGCACTGTCTAGCCTACTCGTGGCAGCCTAGCCTGCTCGTGGGCGCACCCACACCCACGTTAACGACATGCCTACTCGCGCACGTCTTAGCTCGCAAGTGTCCACACCCACGAGCTATCTCATTAGTAAGTGTTCGGCGTCCCAACACTCAAACACCCCACACCTGATCTCAACCATCCTTTTTCAGCGCACACTCGTGTGTTTTCTTAGCGAGGCTGTGGCTAAGGATGAAAGCCACACGCCTACCCTTGCCCTTGCCCTTGGTAAGGGTCTTACAAACCACCCCCACCAGAAGAGTCTGACGTCCTCGTTGGAATGGTGGAAATGTACTCCTGTACAACATCCTCAAACTGCTGCAGATCTATGTCTCTTTCCCACGAAACCTTGCTGTCTTTCCCCCTCTTCCACTTCACCAAATATTCAATTCGGCGATTCTTCTTATGCTGCCCCATCCTCCTGTTATCTAAAATTTTCTCAATCTCATCATCAAATTGTTTCCTGATCATGGGAGGAGCTCTCTTAGCTTGGGTCCTTGAAGAATCATCTTTATCTGCATGGAAAGGTTTCAAGAAGCTCACATGGAATGTGGGATGTACCTTGATCCGCTCAGGTAGTTTTAACTTGTAAGCAACAGCACCCACTTTACTTATAACCTCAAACGGTCCATCATACTTTGAAACCAATGCCCTATGCACCCGTTTGCTGTTGATTTTCTTCCAAATCTGAGGAGTGAGCTTGAGTAGCACCTGGTCACCCACATCAAACTCTAACGGCCTCCTCTTAGCATCAACATACTTTTTCATCCTCTTGCTTGCCTTCCGCAAGCTGTCTTGAGCTTGGTCAATTATCTCTTGTCTGTCCTTAGCCACCCTGTCAGTAGCAGGAAATTTCCCCTTTGCTGGCTGTCTAGCAATCTCAATTGGGGTCAAAGGTTGCTGCCCCAATACCAACTCAAAAGGACTCAGCTCGGTCGAAGATGACTTATGCAAATTGTAGCAAAACTGTGTAGAATCCAACAACTTTAGCCAATTTCGTTGACTAGCTGTAACATAATGCCGAAGATACTCCTCTAACAATGCATTCACTCGTTCAGTCTGACCATCTGTTTGTGGATGATTAGCTGTAGAAAACTGCAGTTCGGTTCCCATCATATTGAATACAGTAGTCCAAAACCTTCCAGTAAACCTTGCATCCCGATCACTAACCAAGTCTACTGGTACTCCAAAATATTTCACCACATTTTTATAAAACAAGGCAACAACTGTCTCCGTTGAACAAGCTTCTAGTGCTGTTATAAAAACTGCATATTTCGAAAATCTATCCACAACAACAAGGACAGAAGACATACCTTCTACCTTTGGGAACCCACTGATGAAGTCAAGAGAGGCTGACACCCACGGCCTCTCCGGAATGGGTAGAGGTTGCAACAACCCTGCTACCTTTCTCCTTTATGTCTTGTCCAGTTGACACACCAAACAAGTTTTCACATAGGACTCAATATCAGCTTCCATTATAGGTCAATAATAATCCTTTGTCAATAATGCCAAAGTTCTCTCCCTACCAGGATGTCCAGCCCAAGGTGAATCATGGACTTCTTTCAATAACACCCGTCTCAATCCACCCTTACTTGGAACATACAACCTGTCTCCTTTGGCATACAATAACCCATCCTCTAACCAGTAACGCCGTATAGTACCATCTCGAACTTGTGTCACCAAGTCCTTATACTCAGTATCCTGATTAGCCGCCACTCGCAACCTGTCTAACATGTCAGATTCAACCCGAGTTATTGCACATAGAGCAGCAACCACCTGTTTCCTGCTCAACGCATCAGCAACCTGATTGTGCCTTCCTGGCTTGTGTTGCTATGCAAAATCATACTCAGCCAAAAGCTCTTGCCACCGGGCCTGTTTTAGGGACAATTTCTTTTGTGTCTTGAAGAAAGTATTAGCCATATTGTCTGTCAGCACCACAAATTTTGTGCCCAGTAAGTATACTCTCCACACCTGCAAACAATGAACCACGGGCTACCATCTCTTTCTCATGAGCAGAATACCGTTGCTATGCCCCATTTAACTTTCGGCTCTCAAAAGCTATGGGATGTCCCTCCTGGACTAACACCCCACCGATAGCTTTCTCCGAAGCATTCGTATGTACTTCGAACGGTAACTCAAAACTTGGCAATCTCAACACCGGTTCAGAGGCAATGGCTTCCTTCAACCTTTCGAAAGCCTTTGAACATGATTCTGTCCACTCCCATTGTTGCCCCTTTTTCAACAAATCTGTCAACGATGCTGCCTTCTTTGAGTACCTTGCAATAAACTTGCGGTAATAATTTGCCAAACCTAAAAAGGATCTCAACTCAAGAACTTTTGTAGGAGCCACCCACTCCATAATCGCCTGCACCTTCTTAGGATCCATCCTTACTTGGCCCTTACTCACCAAGTGCCCCAAGAACATTATTTCTTGTTTAGCAAACTCACACTTTTCCATTTTCACATACAACTGACATTCTCTTAACCGCGTTAGTACCCTTCTCATATGAATCAAATGCTCATCCAAATTCTGACTATATATCACAATATCATCCAAATATACCACCACAAACTCATCCAAGAATTCATACAATACATCATTCATCAAATTGTAAAATGTAGCCGGTGCATTTGTCAAGCCAAATGGCATGACCAAGAATTCATAAGAACCATACCTGGTCGCACAAGTGGTTTTGGGCTCATCTCCTGTAGCAATTCTGACTTGCCAATATCTCGATCGCAAGTCTAACTTAGTGAAAACCGAAGCCCCACTCAGCCTATCCAAGAGGTCTTGAACAAGGGGAACAGGATACTTGTTCCGAATCGTCACCTTGTTCAATGCCCTATAGTCCACACACATCTGAAGGGAACCATCTTGCTTTTTCTGAAACAGCACAGGAGCACCATACGGAGCCTTTGAAGGTCTCACTGCACCTGCATCAAGTAAATCATCAAGTTGTTTTCGGAGTTCTTTCAACTCCATGGGTGACATTCTGTAGGGTGGACGAGCAGGTGGGAACGCCCTTGGTTCTAACTCAATATTTTAATCAATTGCTCGTCTTGGAGGAAGTTCTTTGGGCAACTCCCGTGGCATAACATCAGCAAAGTCTTGTAACAATTCTGCCACTGCATTCGGCACTTCAACCTTCTTATCAGGTTTGATTTCTATCAATACTGCCAAATATGTTTCCTGCTCTTTCTTCAACCCACGCTTTACTGCCGTAGCTGAGATAGTAGTAAGCTTAGCTTGTCCTGGTTTGCTACTCACTCCCAATGAACAGCAAGGTACAAAACAAGGACTTGATTCATGATTTATCATCATGCCATTCAAGTAAGGCACCATCGACACCTTGGCTGCTTTAAAAAATTCTATTCCCAAAATAACATCAAAATCATCTAAAGGAACAACAGTCAAATTAATCTTACCCGTCCAACAGCCCACACAAACCTACATGTTGTAAGCTATTCCAGTCACCCCACGTGCACTCGAATTCACAACCTTCACCGTTATAGGACTCTTGGAAAGTGCTAGCCCCAACTTGGAAACAACCCGATCTGCCACAAAGTTATGAGTTGCTACTGTGTCCAGCAAAGCTTTAACTTGGCTATCCCTCACTTTCAAATCCACAAACAGTAGAGCATTTCGAGCGGCACCCTTGCTCACAACTCCAAGGTAAGTATTACCCTTGTTTTGCTTTGAATCCATTTTTGCCCTCATAGCATTCATCAACTGCATCGGATTCATAGTGACTTGCTCACCACTAGACTCTCCCTCTACACCCATCAAAGCATTTAGCTTCTCTCTCTTTGGGCAATCCCTTGCCCTATATGGCCTTCCACATATGAAACAACTAGACATCATTTTTCCCTCCTTGTTTTCCTTGGAAAAACTACTGGTAACAACGACCTTCCCCTTTTCACTAGCAGAATTTCTCTTCTGAAAGTGGAAGTCCTTTTTCTTGCTTCCCTTAAATTCCTGATTGTCCTTCTTTTTGGCTTTCACTGCAACAACAGGATCTCTCTCCTTGCTACTTTTAAAATCAATCAACCCATCTGCTGCAGCAATAGCACTAGGCAGATCATGCACCTTCTGCC